TATAGGAGTGAAACAGTTTGGAATCCGAGATGTAATGATACAGAAGAAGAAATCTTTCACTAAACTACCGAATCTCAATCAGACTTTGTGATCGTGGGAGGAATGCTACTTTATCCACAACTAAGCTTGATGTATTCTCAATACCTTTACCACCAAGCCACCATTACAGTGCCTATCAAGAGATTTTTTCATGTTCAGTAAATACTTTGTGTTCTCGAGCATATTTCTTTTTGTTATAAAACATGCTACATGAGCCTGTTCACGTTATACGGAAATCCAGCTCGAACCATTTGGTTTTCGAGAGAGCTCGAACAGTAGAGCTTAAATGCGTAGCAGCAACTTTCACAAATCGTACCTGTCTCTTTAAGGGTAGAAAGACTTGTTCAAAGTTGCGTTTAAAGCTCAGCAAATGTTTAAGAAATATTTTCCGAAGTAATGCTGTATCCTTAAGCGAAAGTTCAGTTTTCTGAACTTTTCAAATCGCTCTCGTCAATTACTCTCTCTGTCGCTCATTAAATGCTAATGTTCGACTATACTCAGTAAATTTCTATTCGAAACCATTCCTACATTGCCTTAGTAGGACGACAAACTTTTAGCAGGCAATGCACGTTTACAGTGGATAAAAGCTAGTAAAACCTGTTGAGTGAATGAAAGTACAGACTCAGCGGCAATAACCTCAGCCAATCATGTTCTCTGAGAAAAGGGCAAATTTTTTCATCCTCTTAAGGATTAACCTTTGTAAATACAAAATAACAATATCTCTTTAGTCACTGTTCCTCGTTTTTTTTCAATCCTTTAATTTCGTTATTCAACTTTACAGAGGCTTTCCTTTTCAGAACAGCGTTAAAAAAACATATGAAAGGTTTAGTAATATACGGCACCTCTGAACACCTTCCGAAAACATTCTCCAGCACTTTGTTCATAGTTTTGTGCTAGTGGCGAGAGCTCAGGTACCACGTACTCAATATCATATGAGGCATACGGTGAAGAATACTTGATACTTACTTGATACTTGAACGGCCCGTCCTCACTGGTTGTGCAGGCCCCCAGCATAATCACCATTTTTCGGAGATTTGCTGGTCAAGTTATTGTGGTTGCCTGGAATCCCGAGGTCAGCTTGGTCAGTCGCCCCAGGTCGTCACCATGACAGGAAGTCGCAGCCCTTGTGGATCAGAGGGAGATTTACCACCATGCGACTTTGATACCAAGACGGTGGTGGATCCTGGTATTGGTTTACTCTTAGCTGGGCTTCCTGATGGAAACGCCGGACTCCTTCTCAGCTTGGGAGACCCTGCCGAGGGAACGAATCCTCTGCTGTACATCGCAGTCCGACACCCAGCAACACCTCCCAGCCACGATGAAGCGGTAAACCGTTGGGAGGCTTTTTCGAATCATTGAAAACAAAAACAGAGCACAAAGTAAAATTAATTGCCTGGAAAAGAAATAATCTTGCAGGATAAAAAACAAAGCATAGAGTAATTTGCCAACAAGGAACCTTAGTTCAGAAAAACGAAACGAAATCGTGATATGAGGGTTCTGAGTGTTGGTAGTGGTGTCTTAGGAGGCTTGAACCCAAATGATATGTCTACGACGTAATTTTGCTTAGGTCGGATATTTCAACATTTACTTCATTTACCCTTCGATCACTACTTGAAGGAAAGAGCTGGATGAAAAGAAATCCAATCGGCAGACGTTAAAAACATTTCCAGATAACAAAACTTCACACTAAGGTTTAAGTGAACTTTGAGAAAGAAGCTTATATAAACAATAGCTCTCTTTTCACCATATTACGTTAGTGATAGCTGCATGCGTAGAAGAAAAAATATTCAACCGCCACAGGTTAGCTGTGGTAATAACTGGATGCTCCTGCCTGTTTTGTTGAAGAGTCGGGCTAAACTCGCCTACCGGTTGACATCCAATTAGAAGCAGAAAATCAGAGGAGAACACCATGGTGTTGTCACTTAAATCTAGATAGGGGAAACTGATAGGTTATATGGAATATAAAACAGAAGGAGAACGCGTAGCACAGTGGACTGAGGTGTCCTTCGATGTATGTAGGGTATTTGGTTCGATGTCGAGTCCAGAGTCATGTATGCCACCCATACTTCGGCTTTGAGCTAATTAGGGGTAGACTTTCCTTGTACGATAGCAGCATCGACATGACATATCGGTAGGCTACCTCAACTAATTTTATCGGCCAGATATGCATTTAATCAAATCGACGATGCCGTTAATGGAGTCCAACGCAAAGTGCACCCCTAAAGAGTTGATCAACACCAAAGCTCTATCCTACATCCCATGGTCGAAGTTTACTGTAGAATTCAGAAGTTGTTAGAACTAATGCATTCCCACAAAGGTAAATAGTAGTGAAGAGAACCGCAGCCACGACTGGCCCCTGAATCCGTTGCGAAGAAAGAAAACAAGAGCCGTTGAAAGCTTCTAACACGTTTCTAATTGAGAGATGGATTTGATTAACGTAGAAAGTAACCAGTTTTAAGGAAACTCGTAGTCAAAACTTCTTAGATAGACTAAGAACCTGACTTCACGTAATTCTTAGACGGGATCCCATAAAGACTAAATTTCTCAAATTATTTAAGACTTTCCTAAAATTTAAAAATCACGGAACTCTCCACATTGGTGAATATGTGAGTTATAAACGACTCACCATTGCATATGTATTTTCTCATTATTAAAATGTAATCTGTTGCATAACTTTCTGTTCTTAACCGTCTCAATAAATCACTAACACGAAAATAAAGCAGCAGTTCTGTAAAATAATACGATTAGGTCCACTCTGGTTTTAGCTCGCTATGATAGTCAGGTCACACAAATAAAAACTGATATCCAACATTCCCAAGCATTTTCTGCGCTGATCTTCTCAATATTTGCATAGGTTTTTTTAAGCTCAAGAGAATGTGGTTTAAACAATCAGACAGCGGTTGACAAAGAAAACCGGGCAAACAGGTCAGCTCCGATGTTACCGTATTTTTCCGATTCGATCAAATCAACTTGATAAAAAGAACCCTATGTGCTAAACCTATTACTAAATGCAAACAACTCCGTACAATGTGGTGGTTCCCTAAACCTTCTGTTTTTCGTTGTGCAAAAATCACCTCCTGCTTTTCGTTGTGTCACTAATCAGCATAAAAGTACTTTTATCGCCTCTATAACCCATTTCGTCCCATAAGGACAATGTAGTGCTGTCCATAACGGTTTGGCGCTCATGGGGATTATAGCGCTCACATTCGGTTTAGTGAGTTTCAGAATTCTTTACCACACTATTTGTATTCATTCTTCAGCTTCGAAAGCATTTGAAAGAGGACTAAAATGGGAGCAGTGTTACTAGAAAAACCACTCTCTATATTTAACGATTTACAAAAAAATCCTTTTCTTCGAATTTGATTGAATGAAAAAAATTGATGAACGGTAATTTGACTAGCAATTTATTGTCACCCAGATCACTTCCGTTGACAGTTGACTGCTGATGGCATCGTTGAGGTAAAACGACTCACTAAAAGAAAACGAGGGCGTCAGTGGTGCCGTGTTAACACGTGAACTCCCAGCATAGCTAATGACGGTTCGATCGAGCTTGGGGTCCAAGTTTTGCAGTTATCTCATTATCACTGTGGCTTTTTCACATAATACCCTACGGTAAGAAAGTAATGGGCAGTATACAAAAGTTATACATTGTAAATTATTGTTACTTAATCTTAACTCTTTTATTTACTGCCTTTTTCTTTCTAATGGCAGGGTATGTTGCGAAATACAACTCGTATATAATGCTGAGATATTTGCAAAACTCTGGACCGCAGCTGTATGCGGTGGGGAACGAACGCGTGCTATTGTCCTTTCCGGGGAGTAGCGCACTTCACCACCACACCATTCGGGTCCTTCGTTTTGCCTGTCTCTCAGCTAGTTCTATTGATCTTTTACCATCAGCGATCACCCGTAAATAAAAGGGTTAAGATTGTGATTATAACGAAGCCTCAGCTTAAATGGGCTCAATGCCGATTCGGGCTCCTCAGATCAATCCCGTTGACGGGTGATTGCTGTTGGCAAAAGATCAATAGAACTAGCTGAGAAACAGGCAATACGAAGGACCCGGATGGTGTGGTGGTGAAGTGCGCTACTCCCCGGTAAGGACAATAACGCTTTCGTTCCCCAACGCATACACCTGCGGTCCGGAGTTTTGCAAATATCTCAGCATTATATACGAGTTATTGTTACTTAATTTTAATCTCTATGGTTAATGTAGTGCAGTGCTCGGAGAAGCTCTGCAATACACATGGGATCGATCCCCACGCCCCAGGCTCACCGAGTCTCCCATCTCTCCGGGGTCGGAAAATTGGTACCATACTCGTCTGGGAAGATAGCAGCACTGGCTCGATACATCGGTAGGCTGTCATTGTAAAAGCCAGATATGCATTCAGTCACTTCCGACGATGTTCAATGAAGTTGAATTCATGGCGCATCCCTCAGGGATTGGTCAGAGTCAAGAATACCAAAGTATCCTCAACAGAAAGTGCAAAATGTTTCCACATGTCGACATCAACGTATTTGCAATATGAACCATAATAACATATAGGAAATAGTAGCATAGATAGCATTCATATCCATAGAACGATAGAGCAAAGTCTCTTCTACAACACTACCATGACGAAAACCCTTCAAGTCCTCTAGCTATTGAGAAAAAACTTTTTATGGCAAAAGAACTAGAAAGACCGCAGCCGACAAAAAATTGCTCGTATTCGATTACGATAACCACGAAAAACGGCGTTGACGCGGAATGGGTTAAAAGAACTCTTTCTCTTTTAAACACCAGCAAATAATCATCTAAAGGTGAAAGTGACAAGATTTTTTCTACAGAAAAATTTTATCTTGTTTAAAACGGCTTGATAGGCAAAGATTTCTCACAACAGTTGTCACAGAGAGGTATGTGGCGCGGGAATTCTGGTCAGGGAGCAAACAAAATGATGGGGTGTCGGACAGGTTCTTGATGGATGGCAACTGAGGAGCAGCAGCATTATTGTCGTGAAGTCGTCACTCGTAAAGCACAAGTCATCGTAAGCAAAACGTTCACAAGACAAACACGGATGCATGCAAAAGACAACGGAAGACAATTCGTCCGGCGTCTTCTAAGTGTACGAGATGTCACCGAATTGAGAGATTTGGTGGTGCAGAAAAGTAGTGAATACTACAATTTATCATGGAAAATGACAATTACTGGACTGTAGCCAAGTTTTCAAGAATGTGAAAAAACTTTTTTCTTCATTAAAACAAACACAGCTGGAATAAAAATACAGAGATCTCGCCTCAGTACTAGTAATATATTAGAGTGAGCAGTCTTAATTAACAATAATAGAACATTTCCTTTATTTTTGGTGCCATTTTAACAACCTGCTGTAAAATGTTCTTCGCGGATTCCAGCGCTTCTTGCATTCGATTCATTTTCTCTAATCCATCATTCACAAAGGTTTTTCAACTTTTTGTGTGTGGTTTCAGCTGCTCCTCGAGGATTTTCGTTTTCTTGATGAGTGCCGATGAATGATGGTTGGCTCGATTCCCCTGGAGCCCTGGAATAGCCTTGTTAGGGCATTTCCATGTTGGCTAGACGAAGTGAACTAGTGCCGGAAAAGTCTGGTACCTAGTCAGGAAGGAGCGTAAGAAGGAGCTAATGAGCCTGGGAAAAGGTAAACTCAGCACTGGAAATAATTCCACTTAATCACTTCCACTGCTCTATTGCTCCACTTAGAAGAAAACCTATAAAATTATAGTAGAATTTAAAGTTAAATCGTCTCTTTTCTCCAATTTTTTCTTTGTCCGAAATCATTTATGAGATAGAGTTTTCTGCCGCAGATTAGTCTCAAAAAATATGGTTGTGGATATGTGGGTTCTTGGAATTGCCGAAAATTTGAATTAACAATAGAGTATGAAATGTGTCAAGCGGTAGAATGTGACTACAAGAAGACCGATCAAAGAGATATGACGACATGATTATAATAGCTGTTGTTATTATGTAACTACGACTATAACAGTAATAATAGTTGTTTTTTATTTTTGCATGACATAACATCACACGTAGCACAGTGTACAGATCCCAGCACGACTTGTATGGTTCCCATACATCCACCATCCAAGAAAGTGCTAGAACTTTTCGCGTATGGGTTCGGCTGCTTCCTGATGATTTTTTCGTCTTTGTCGCGAATGTCGTTGAAACCTGGTCGAGTTCATTCACCATAGAATTCTGAGATAATCGTTGGAGGGGCGTTCGCACTTGGATTGCAGAGAGTGAACTTGTCGTAGACAAGTCTGCTACCAATTTCTAGATTGCGAAGGAATGAGAGGCCCGTGGGATCCGGAGCGGAGTTGATTTAGCATCTGGCTAAATTGTAGCGCCTGCGTAAGGAACAGGATCGTTACCACTGCGCTACTTGCTCTCTAATAATAGTAATAACAATAATAAATACTGATAAGTTAGAAGGCAAAACAATAAGAGATGGGGATAACCATCAGTATTAATAGTATAAGGTAGTGCAGAAATTATATAGTAGATCAAATTAATCGGAAAGAGAATATCCTGATGTAGAATAGTTAAAAAGCAAAATTTAGAAGATTAAAAGCATAAAATTGAGCAAAATGGAACAATGTGGTGGGTGTAAGCTGATAAGGGAAGAAGTCGCCACTAACACAGCATATTAAACACTGCAAGTTTTGTAGTGTTATTTCGAAAGACGCAATACATTGGAGACGAATAGTGTAGAAATTGCACAGAAACGAGGAATCAGAGAGTTTGTAGACCGCAAACATCTACGACACCACCGCAATGGGGGTGGGGAAAACCGCCAAGAATTACTCGTTTGTTTGTTCTGACCGCTAGCGATCGACTGAACTGTCCCAGATTCTACAGCAGTTTATCGACCGTTGTCCACGATCGGCTGCTACATCTGCTACATGTCCGATGTGACTTAGACACTCAAACAACTCGGATAATAACTGTGAAAGTCATTTGAAAAATTCGCCACATTCAAAAAACAGTGAACTCTACCGTTAACTGGCCACTTCTTTCCTACGTACTGCTTTTGACGCGGTCATGTATGTACTTTGGACGCATGTGGCGCAGTGGTCGGAAGTGCCCTACAACACATTTGGAATCGATTCCTGCGCTCCCGGCTGACTAAGCCTTCCATCTCCCCAGAGTCGGCAACTTAGTACCAGACTTGTATGGGAGGATAACAGCACTGGTTCGATGCATCGGTAGGCCACCGCAAATCATTGTAGAGGCGAGATATGCATCCAATCACCTCTAATGATGTTTAATGAAGTCAAAAGCATGACGCACCACTAAGAGATCGATCAGTTCCGAGCTTTTTTAGCTTTTATTGCTTTTGATGAGCTGATACGAAGTAATAGGCATGTATTTTTTTTAGTTTACATGGTTTGTTGGATGTGGCGTAGTGGTTAAAAGCGCCTTGCAATACTCATGTATTTATCGGCTCGATCTCGCACACAAGGTAAACTAAGCATTCCATCCTTACGTGGTTGGAAATTTGGTACCAGAGTTCGCCAAGGGGATAAAAACACTGATTTAATAGGACGGTAGGCCTTCTTAAATCTTTGTATAGTTCAGATACGCATTCAGTCACCTGTTGTATGATACAATTGGAATCGAACACATGTAGTAAATACTGCGGGATTGACCCACGCCAAAAAATAGAGTCACATCTCCAGTGATGATATTTTCTACTTCGTGACAACGTTTTCCTTCAAGTATAGATTGTTTGCACTCGACCCACGACCACTGTTAACGTTTTGTATGAAAAAAGGAAACCATAGATCAATAGGATGAAAAACAAGGTACAAGGACCTAAAACAAGGAAAAAAGCGAACCTACTTGGTAGGAATCGATAAGCGTTACTATTGCGCTCGCATTAGTGACTTTTACGATGTTATGGAAACGGAAGAGGGTTGAATGAGAATTTAGACGAATTGAAACCTTAACATAACTTCTTAGCTTCTAGCATTTTCAAAGCTTGTTAACTATCAGGGCAACTAAATCCATAAGAAGAGAGTGGTTTCAGCTTGCGAAAATGAAAGCGTTGAAAAGTCGCTGCAATGATGAGGCGATGGAGTATATGATTTCCTAACTCCAATGATTTCCATCGGAGTGGGAGAATCGGGATTAAACAAGAGTTGTGTGCAGTCTATAGCGGTTCGCCATACCACTATGCCAAACGCCAAGGAATTTCTCATCACCATAGCTTTCATAGTCTTTCTTCTCTCGAAATGTTGATTGGTACTACTTGCTACTTGTGTTCTTCTTCACAAGCTTAGGACACCGGCCAGCATTTAATTAATATCAATCAGAGAAAATCTTAAATTTTGTAACAAATTAAACTTTCCACATGGAAGACGGCAAAAGGTTTCCAAAAGGGGAAATACGCAGAATGGAGAAGCAAAGGCGAGTAAATGTGATCTGCCGTTTGCTTCATTCTGAATGAAACTTTGTTGATCAAGAAAATTTTCAGCGAGGTTTCTACGAAGAAAAACCTATTGTAGGAAAAGAGGTAACTAGTTCACTATTTCAAGGAACGTGACACCAACTAAATAATATGCCGGTCGGTAAAACATCGTGCAATGAGTGAAGCGTGAAATGTAGAAAGAGTTTAACGTTGATCAATCCAGTCATGGAGATGTCCCATGCATTTTACTCCATTCCTGGTATCGTAGGCGTGATCGAGTGTATATTTGGCATAAATAGTGGGCTCTACCTAAGTCGGTGTTTTATCTTCCCGGACAAGTGCGGAACCGATTTGCCGACTACATATTTGTGAAGTTCTTCGTGTGCCTACAAGTAGCACAGAACCAAAGCCCATGTGCATCGAAATCACCTCTGACCACTGTATTACGCGCGACTTCAAAACAGTACGTATGTAAAGTAATCCGTGGTCAGAACCTAGTTAAACGAAATGGAATAATATTCCGAAATACATTCGATTTCAGCATATTTTTGCTTCTTTTGTTTCAATTAATATTTGATATGAACCCGTCTTCGTGGAAAATCGTGCCGATCTTAGCAGCATTTCTGATTTACCGTGATATTACAGACTGAACGAGATCTTTTCTCACAAGTCACGAAAAGACGAAGTTAAGCTGCACCCCTATTTAGATCGTTGCAACCATGTTTCTTCCAGAATGTCGACAGTTGCTGGGATCAGTCCAGTTATAGCTGGACATGCAGATGGAAATGTCGAACTCTTTGTCTCTGGGTTGTAGTGCTCGATGGTGAATCCTATTCTATGCAGTGTAGTTTGACACACCGGTCCCGTGATCCCTGGTGCATATAATCGACTGGGTGTTTTCTCGCTCATCCTGAAGTAAATGAAAATCTCACCGCACACGAGCTGTGATTTCAACCACTTGAGAGCCTTTGAAAGCTCGATTCCCGAAGAATTCAGCTTGCACGTGATACTGCTAAATTCCACGTGAGTATTAGGTTCATTCTTCACTAGCATTCCTACAGAAGAGAGTTTGTGATCAATATTGTAAGCGACGAAAATTAGGTTTGCCAGTGGTTCGTTTATCTATTGTTTGGACTACGCAATAATACCACTCACTGACTTAGTTCCACGAATATCACAATGACATCACCTCCCTCTTCTGCTCTGTTCCAGAAATAGACTGATGTTTATAAAAATGAAAGCAAGTTCATATCCTACAGAAGATCGTTCCTCCATACATTGCGAAAATAAATGGACATCCACGCTTGGAGGGGGAAACTATTCCGCATTTAGAGTGCACTCCAGACATCGTACGTCTTGAATAGTACTTAACTTTATTGTTTTCTTGCAAACATGTTACAAAAGAAAAACTTCAGCGACCAGTGCCAAGTGCGAAAAGTAGTCAAAAAGTTCTTCGGCTCTTGCTCACAAATGTTCAAGCGAGCATTCTAGGTAGATATGATGAAGCAGTGAGAAAATTATGACCCCAAGCGGTTAGAGATGCCTTACGCCGGGTATAGTTCTTACTTCGGTCCTATGGCTTTATCAAATCTAGCCTTTCACTCTTATTTACTGAGTAAATTGGTATCAAATTGGTCCGGGAAGAGAAAAGCGCCGATATGATACATTTTTGTGCGCTGACAAGTCACTATGTAGGCGAAATATGCATTCAGTGTCCTATAAGTTGCTACGAATGAAGTGGAACGCATGAAACATTTCTAAGGACTACTCAACTC